TTTAGAAAAAATAAAAAATAAAATCTCCTATGGTGATTATTATAATGAAGAAATGATCGTGGCCATGAAAGTTTGAGTCTTTCAGACCCACCCTTTGGCAGATTTTATTGTTGTTTCATGTAGTCTTAATATTAAAATCAAAACACGACGTTTTTAACTAAATAAAAAAATAAGAAAAATATCATTATTGAATGGAGTTATATGTCCATTTTCATAAAAAAAATTGAAAATATAAATAATTTTATAACTTTGTCGTCCTACCTAGGGCTGCAAACGAGCCGAGCCGAGTCGAGCGTTGGCCTTATCGAGCATGATTGATTTTTTTTTTTAGCTGCTCGAGCTCGAGCTCGTCGAGCTCAATTTTTTAGGCTCGAGCTCGACTCGATAAGAAAATACAATAGCTCGAGCTCGGCTCGAGTTCGATTCAAAAATTTCAAACAATTTTGTCAAATTATATATATAGAAGGATATTTTAGTAATTTATCATATATCTCGAGCCGCTCGACAATGTAAAATATGGGCTCGAACTCGACTCGAGTTCGTGTTCGAGCCGCTCGAGCTCGACTCGAGTTCGGTCAAACTCGAGCTCCTGCCGAACTTTGACTCGAGCGCTCACGAGCCGCTCAACTCGTGTGCAGCCCTAGTCCTACCCAAGTCGTCGTCCCTGCTTGTCACTTCTACCTGCAGCCAGATTTCAAACATTGAAGTTTGCTAGAATTCGTCATGAAAAATTATGGTTGTGTTTGTTTTTTAGCTTTTTGATCAAGTTTGGCGTTTGAGTCATATTTGGCTGTTTGACTTGAATATTAATCTGTTTGGTAACATAACGATTTAAGATAGCTTTTTTTTACACAAACAACTGATTTTCAAAACGCTGCTAATGATTGGATATAAAATGTTTTTGTTTTGATTGAATTTTTTATTTGGGTTGGTTAAATTTGAAAAAGTTGATATAGTTAGTTGTTAGTTGGTATATTAAAATAATATTTAAAATGAAATGATTAAAATTAAATTGATGTAAAAGTAGGAGAGAGAATGTGTGATGTGATGGTTAGTTAAAAGTATGTGAGGTGATGAATAGTTAATTAAGGTTGATGTTGTGTGTAAGAATAATTGATTGATATTATTTAATTATATTGATAATATTGATGATAGTGGGGTTGAGTTAAAATTGAGTTAAAAAAAGTGATTGAGTTAAAAATGATTGAATTTTTTGGGTTGGATTTATATCCAATCATGCTGCAGCGTTTCCCATTAGCTTTATGTTAAGATATCCAACAAATTTATTTAAATGCAATTTAAGTGTTTGAGAAAACAAACCAACAAATTAGTTGCACCAAACTATAAATCAAAATTAGTTTACTTTTACTTATTATATTTTATTCATACAAAAATTATAAACATAAAACAAAATTAGTTTACTTTTTTACTTATTATATTTTATTCATACAAAAATTATAAACATAAAGAGTTTCTTATCATTATCAAATACCAAATTGTATTTAAGTAAATTAATACACTTTTAATATTTTTATTTTATATTATTTCTTTTATTTTACTTTAATTATAACAAGTATGAAAACTTAATTTAATTTAAGAATGGATTCAACTTTTGTTGATACAAAAATTATTACATGAATATAATTGGTATTTATTGCTTTCTAAGTATCTATATAACAAAATAAGTAAATTTACAACATTAAATATATTTTTACAAATCAATCAGACAAATCAACATTAATATTAACAGCTGGACAAAACAGCTATTACAATCCGCTATCCACTAAAGCCAACAACTAATTACCAAACAAGGCATATGTTAAAAATAATATTTTCTTGAAGAATCTAGCCGTATTTTTAGATTGATGATCAGATCTCCCAATATCTGATAATATAGATCAAGTTCCAAAATTTTGTCGGTTTAAACAAATGCAACGTACAAGTCAACTACTACTAAAAATTTGAAGGCCATTCGTTGTGTATGCGTTGGTGTACAAGTCAAATATTGAAAAACTGCGTAAGATGCCATCTACAATATATCATTATATACAAATATTTGACATTTTATGTACCTCTGCACAGGTACAAACAAGGTATTTAGCCCAGAAAGTCGAGATACTATCATTCACCAGTAAAAAACCTAAACCAAATTAGTCTTCGGACATTATTTTCCACAGCTTACGTCAAAATCTCTAGCTATCAATGAAAATACAAGGGAGAAAATGACGAACCTGTCAAATTTCGTTTCCACTGAGAAATCAAGATGGCTTCTTGACTTTGCAATTCGGTTCAATCCCTTTCAAGTGGTCAGTCAATTGACAAAGAAAATTATTAGTACGACGTTATCATTGCAAAGAAACACGTACAACAACGAAAGGAAGGCGAAAAAAGAAGAAAACGACGGAAAATATTTATACTACTTGATCAAATGATACTGTCATCTTGAACAAAACGAAGCTCCTAATTGAACAAATCAGCACAAAACATATCATCGTTTCGGAAAACTGAAAATTTAAAAAAAAAAATAAAAAAGAAAGGAAAGAAAATAAAAATTAAGGAAATACATCCTAGCTCAGGGCCTAAACTTGCGTCACTCGACATTTGCTACAAATAAAGGGAAAAAAAAAAAGTTGAGAAGCAAAATCTCACGGGACGTTCATAACTTGAATGGACTGCAACATGTCAGAGACAGAAATAACCAGGTCACCAGATTTGATCATCCCACGGGCCTTGAGCAAGGAGAAAGTCTTGTTGAGATTGGTTTCCATGTCATCAGAGAAGGTCAAACGGAAAGGTATGAGGCCCCACTGCAAATTGAGGCGCCTGCGTACTGATGTGGTCGTCGTAAATGCAAATATTGGACAGTCTGGACGGCAGCGTGACAGGAGGGACGCCATGTCACCACTCTTTGTGTAAACGAATATAGCATCCACCCCCAAGTTGTTGGCTACAATATAAGATCTCAAATTAGCACTTAATAATCAACATAGATGTGAGAGTTTGATAGACGATACGAAAAAAAAAAAATAAAAAACAAATAAAAATATACTAAGCAAAATTAGTTTTATCAGAAAACACTTGCACATGCCAGGTCTAATTACAAAAAGGGAAATAAAGAAAAATCCACTTCAAGCTCGGGACTGGGGGTACTTACAAAAGAACCCAAAAGGTTTTTGAAAATTAAAAAGAATCCTGGAGGCTTGTTTTGTTACGAATATTTTGAAATATTTTAGCACGCAAATGAGTAAGATGTAAGAAAAGGACAAACTTCGTGGGGTCTTTTTGTAGTTTTCATAAAAACGTTGGCGTCTTTGTAACTAGCTCAAATATCAGGGGCTTCTTTGTAATTCTCATTTAGAAACAAAAGCAAACTTCAAAGGGGAGGGTTGTAATTTTCGAAAAACGTTTGGGGTTCTCTGTAACTAGCTCAAACTGCAGAGGCTTCTTTGTAAATTATCCCTTAACAACACTATCCCACAAGGTCTAGCCTAATTACAACAAAATCTAGTCATGTTCAAAAACCACAAACACCTACGCAACCATCACTTCTTCTACAAATTTGTAAATTTCAAAGCGATAACAAGAGTTTTTCCTAGTTACTAGAACCTCAAGGGAAGTTTCGTAATGATATCCATTTTATAACATCTCCACGTTGCTGACTACAAAGAAATACGAAACATGTTGCTTTACCCATTTTAGCAGCAGAATTACATATCTCTTCCGAAATACTGTCTGCAAAGGAAGATGCTATGCCGGGCAGCTCCATTGCCTCATGCCTTTTCTCCTCTCTCCACCATTTCTCAATCCTCAGGCTCACACTTCTCAAAACAGTCAGAGCTTTCTCTGGGTACTGACCCATGGCCGACTCACCAGACAGCATCAGAGCATCAGACAGCTGGCGGACTGCCTCAGAGATATCCGCCACCTCAGCCCTTGTAGGGGTGGGGTACTCTATCATGGACTCGAGCAGCTGACTTGCAACAATCACGGGCTTGTTCAACTTCCTGCAGGCCCGGACTATTTTCTGCTGTTCAGAAGGGACTTGTTCTAAGGGGATTTGGGCGCCAAGGTCTCCTCTTGCCACCATGGCACCATCTGATGCTCGGATGATTTCCTCCAAGTTTGTGAGCGAGTCGATACTTTCGATTTTCGCAATTACGGAGATGTCACTGCATTTTTTGCATTTCGGTTTTGTAAATAAAATTTGTTTCATGAAAAGTCTCCAATAGTCTGCATATATACAGCATTTTAAGGGGATTATTTATATAGAACAGTTATAGACTGGGGATTTTATTGCTTAAAAAAATTGTTAGTATTTATTAAAATGGAATAATGTCGTATACGAGCGTATTAGGGGTTTTACTTTTTGTCAGGGGGAAATAATTTGAAATGATTGTGTTGATAGATAACTCACCTATCACGAGCGCGTGCTTTGATATAGCTCTTAAGATGTTTTATGACTTCGGCGGACTTGACAAATGATATGGCGATAAAATCAACGCCTTCAGCAATCCCAAAATCAATGTCCAACCAATCCTGAGAAATGATGCCAAACAGTTGAGAGTGATTGAATTATACAAACGTATTCAAAATTAGTTCAATTAACAGCCAAATGCAAGTTAAAAGAAAAATGCCAGACAGTGAGGGTAATTGAATCAATATAAAGTTATTGAAAAAGAGGTCAATCAACTGCCAAATGGCAAGTTACAGGGATCACATGAACGAGCCGCTCCTCAGCCTGCTTAAAACAAAATTCTATTCTTCCCACACCAGTAAGGATAGATCGATACCTTCCTAATCCTTACAATTTCCTGCATTTTCCACGAAGACAAAGCTGTCTAAATTCACCAAAACTCAGTTTTACGTGACCCCCTTCATCTGAACTCACCTATTCCATTTCAACAAATTTACATAGTGGGTGAATAAACAAAAACAAAAATATTGATTTTATGAAAGCATTGTCGTTCCCTTGCCATCTGAATAGCGAATAATGAAAAATGCACATAAAAAAAAAAAAAAATCATCATTAATCCTAATCTCCTTCTTAAGCCCCAAGGTTATTCTGTCAACCTTGATCGAAGAATCTTATCTTAACCAACATAATTGATAATACATTAATAAAAAAATGTATTATTTTCCTTTTTAGTTAAAGTTTGAAAGGAACTTTCCAAGGCAAATATATGCATGCTTTAAATACATTATACAGGTATCATCCATTATCTCTTGTTTTCGTTGTAATAGAACTATTAAAAAAAAAGTTTTCTTTGATATATCCCACAAGGTCAATCCATACATGGCCACAAGATACATGCTAAACTAGCAAAAGTTTTCACCAATCATTTTACATCCTCGAATATTAAATGCATTCATAAGAGTCCAAAATTACCAAGTCTATCATAAATATAATAAGAGACCAGCACATTGGGAAGGAACTTAGAGATACACTACAAACCGAATAAAAAAAAAAAAAAAGTATTAGTGTAATTATTCCTCAGATGAAGAAAAATTATTTTCCAAAAGAACTAGCTTTGTCTAATTAACACGGACTGTCACTTATATTTATATGAGAAATGCTATAGGTACGTAATATTGTACATAGGAGTGTACATAACACTCACATTGAGTGGGACCAACCAAAAAAAAAAATCAAGTGGACCCCACTCCATGTGAGTGTTATGTACACCTCTATGTACATTTATTATTATGTACTTGTAGCATTTTTCTATTTATATAGTGGTACACCACTACATTCCATTTGCTACGCAATATATACAAAGAATATCAAAGGATCAAGTTTGTCCCATAGAACAATATGTTATACTGAGACAAGTTTGCCTGAGTAAAAGATAATTTGATACCAGGGAAATTACTATTTGAAGAAAAATTAGCTGAAGGATAGCCACAAACCTTAGAAGATATCGTTGGTAGCATAGCATTACGTTCACGTACTAGACTCCCATCACGCCAGAAGGTAAGATTAGCCCGGGGTAGTAGAAGTCCAGGATCAGTACAGAGACACTTTACATCTGGACCAATTTTCTCAATCACTTCAAACCTCACCATTCCACCGTCTACCAGAAGCTCGTCTCCTACTTCTACATCTGTCTTATTGGAATTGAATAGCTTCATTATCAAAGTAAAATCATGCAAAACAAAGGCAATAATGATTGTTGCGAAGACTAATTGAGTATAACCCCATTAGAAAATGAAATGTTATTCTAACCTTCAGCAAAGCCACCATAGCTCACATTAATAGTGTGCTCTGGAAGAGCCGAATCAAAAGCTCTTACACTGAACGTCCAAATTTCACCATCCTGCAAATGACCAAAAAGAAGAGCTAGTTATAAGTTGCAAAGTGAAGGGCGTCTTTTTCATTGCTCTCCAAATCTGAAAGTACACTATGCCTCTCCTAAAGAAAATTACTTAGCCTAGTACGAAAAAACAGGGTTGAGCTTAAACTATATGTTACAAGCTTTGGAGCTTATAAGGTACTTAGGGTAGTTGTAAGCTGTTTGGTTATATATTATTGAACTTTTAAACTCAGACTGTATATAAAGTCTTCGGCATGTAAGATAGTATCCTATCGCTAATGTCACAAACAAAAGGATATTTCCACGAATAAAAGAATGCTGCTCAATTTCAGTGATGAAAGTTGTTGCGAGATTATTTCCTATAGTTATGCATGCTGGTAGTAGTAATAGGGACAAACAAAAATTTTGTAAACGAAAATTCTCAATCTTTTCATATACTCTGCATGTGCATACAAATAAGCTAAAAACCTGTTTTTGTTCTAAACGCACATCATGGCCTTATGAAATGATTAGTGCACATTTTATATATGCATAATACTCAAACAAATGATACTACATTTTTATAACGAATATGTAAGTTTATAAAAAAGTAGAAATGACCAGTATCTATTATAGTGTTAACAGACATTCCACAATAAACAAATAAGCCTATATAATTCAAACTATACTAACTATTAAATACTTTTATTTTGGTTATGTTGTCGATTACAAATCTACACAGCAAGTAAAGAAACCTTCATACAATAATATTTCCATGATATAAACATAAAAGTTCATTCTTGGACTCGTTTCATCCATTCCAGGAATGCAAGAAACGAGCACCTTACATCACATTATTGACTAATTTCGAACTGTTTCTGTATTATTTTCTAAGTTCCTAATTGATAAATGTTCATAATGAAGTCTGTGAATATGATGCCATATTTCCCCATTCCTTATAAGTAACCACTTATCCAAACATGTAATATGATTCCCACCTTCAAATCACCATTCAAAACACTGCACTATTTTAGCATTTAAACTTCCTTTTTGGGTCAAAATTCATATTTTCAGTAGAGGCACCGCTATAAAATCAGTATAAATGCAAATCGGTTGCATAATAAACATTCGCCATTTACACTTGTATCAGTACCTCAGCTTTAGCCGACGGAGCACCACCGAGATCCCCCATGTGAATCTCGCTCCCCTCAGTATCCATCATGACGGCCACCGCATACCCTTTCTCCTCGTTCAGCCTCCTTACCCGCCCAATCACCTCCCGGTGCCACTCCCTCGTGCCGTGGCACATGTTAATCCTCGCCACGTTCATCCCGCCCACCGCCAGCGCCTCCAGCTGCTCCGCCCCGCAAGTGGCCGGGCCTATCGTGCAGATCAGCTTCGTACGCCGCGTGCTCCGGAACCCGTTCTCCTTCAGCTCTGCCTCGGTCACCGCGTCCACGTCGATCGAGCCGGAATCGGAGGCCGCTCGGAAAGGATACGCTGAAAAATCACCGCCGGCGCCGTTTGAGGATGTTAGCACCTCCGGATTGGGGTCCGAGACGGCGGAGGCCCTGATGCAGAGGGCGGTCCTGCTGGGGTTCTTCGAAGGGGCGAGACGGGGAGCGGTATTGAGGGAGGTGAGAGAGGGTTTGGTGGAGTGAGGGATGGAAAGCAAGCGGTTGAGGGATTGCGCCATGGAGAGGCTAACACCAACTTCCCAGCCACTTACTTAAATTAATAGGAGGGACATCATCAGGTGTGGGATCTTGGCGAACAAGAGAGGCTAAGGACATCATGGGTCTCCTATTACCTTTTTAATGATGTTCACATTGAAGGAGAAATGAGTTTCTAAACACTTATGGACAGTGTTTGGCCTTTTTTGATAAAGTATAAAGTGATGCTTTTTTCACACTATTGTAATAAATGAGTTTCAACATCACTAATTCATGCATCTCTTGCTTTGAAGATTCTATTTCATAATAGCTAAACTTGTCCTATAGGTTTGCGCAGTGAGTTCACTCAGTTAGGTGTTTAAGATTACAGGTAGCAGATAAAAGGGCACATAGTTTTTCAATAACCCATTAGATGATTTCTGATTACGAGAGTCAAGTTTTTACACTGAGCAATTTATTTCTAAGTAATATTCAAGCTCCAAAAAACGATTTAATCTAGAGAGAGAGAGAGAGATGATGTAATCGTGATGCTATTTATAGGTCCCTTTTCCAGGAAAAAAAAAAAGGAAAAGAAAAAATAATGATATGAAGGGACAAAACAAATGACAATTGACAGATATCTTGTAATCAATCAAGGCTACAATTGAAGTCCACAAAAATCTCATAAGTTTTTGGCACTAAATCAACATTTCTTTCTTCTGAATTCCATCTCAATATCCAAAATCCCCTATAAAAGTAGCAATTATCCAGAATTGAGATTTTCTGCATATTGGATGAAGGCTTTTTTTTTCGCATGCTTCCCACAAAACAAGTCATGTCCAAAGGGTATATTATCTGTGAAACATCATAGTATCCAACATCGACATCCAGAAGAATCTTGCGGTCTTTCAAACCATCTATCCCATAATGGATTTGGTGGACCAATGGTTCTGTAAAAAAAATGAAAAGACATACATAATAATAAACAAATCTCCAAGTAAGTACATACTCGACTAGAAATGCTTCAAACTTTTACGAAAATCGAGCTCAAGATCTTACACCGGGACTAATGGATCTGGTCTCTTTTCAACATTAGTCAGCACCCTGGTTGGAATTACACATAAATGTTAGGAGGTTCACATCATGCAGAAATTTGAAGTGGTGAAAATTTAGTGTTCAGCAAAAGTCTACATAAAGTGATTCATCGTACAAGAGAAAGAAAAATTCAAAGTTGAATAAGATTAAGTATTTGGCGAATGTATTTAATCTGTGAGTGAGTTGTAAGCAAGATCAGAAATTTTTAAAACTCCACTTAGTTTTTTTTTTTTGGCCGTTTTGATCGATCAATGATACTTTTTCCCTTCCTGTCAAAAGTTCAAAATCATTTCTTTCAAGTATTTTGCAAGCTATCCTTAATTTTCTTTTCACTTACTCCTTACAGGCTGCAGATGCTTTATCCATTTTCTCGAGCTCTTCCAGTTCTTCCTGCACATCCAAATATCGGAATAAGAATATTATTTATTCCACCAAATACCACACATTGTATATTATCAAAGCCATAATTGCAAACAACATTATTGACCAAGACTCATGGTATCATTTGGCTACAAAGTTTCAACAAGGATTTTGCTAGTAATCTAAACAATTAATCCAGAGACATTCATGTTTAAAGGGACTGATTTTAAACACCATTCATGTCAATGAAGTCTTACACGGTTCACAATTTACAATCTATAAACGTTAATTTTAACAACATAATCAGATATGTTGTTATATTGAGCAATCTCAAATGCAATAAGAGCAAAACCCAATTAAGAATGTCATGCAATGAACAACCTCAATATTATGAGGATACCAGCATTTATATTCAATATTTGTCAATGAAGTATGTTGTGATCTTTGGCATTTATTAATCCTTACTAATGCATCACATCTGAATCCACAATCATCAGGCCCTATCTTTCTCTTGCTGATGACTGAATGTTTACAGTAACGTGTAAAAGCAACTTATATATTGTTATCAAATAATCATTCGTTCGATGAAGAACAAATGCGCAAATCATTCCAGTTATCTAATATAGTCTTCGATCTTTGTACTTTGAAGTCAAATTATATCCAACATCCTCATATACATGATATCAAAAGATCACTAAGCAGAGCATATGTGTTCTTTTTCATTGCAGGCAAATACATATGCCCTAATAATTATATTCTTTCTGTAAGAAAATTTGAAGCACCCAAAACACTCAACACAGTATCAATTAATTGTCCTAGTTCAAGTTTCCTTCTGTTTTTTCTTTTAAAAAAATCACAAAATTCCACCAAGATAACCAAATTTTGGGAGACACCAGAGTTTCACTTTTTCCTAGTGTCACACGAACAAGAAGACAAAAAGTTCAATACCCTGCAGTTTTTCACCACCACTCAAAATGCAACAGATGCACCAATCAGACAAGAGACAACCACAAGACTTCACCTTTTACAACTCAAATTCAACAAGGGCACTCGAATTTGATATCCCAGATGATAGGAACATAAAAGAATTTCCCATTATTCAAACAAGTCAAAATGGTCCAATTCAAAGCACAACAACAAACATAGAATAAATCAAAAACCTCCAAGAATCGAGTTTCTTGCTCGAGTCTCTTCAATTCAGCAGAAATCCTGTGTTTTCCTCTCGTATCCGTTGATCCAGACGCTGATCGCAGTTCCCCTGAACTCCCCGTCTGCATTTTCCTTCAAATTTCCAAACGTTTTTCCTTTTTGTCCTATTAATCTACTAAAAAGAAGACAACAAATTCGAAAACTAAGCTAACAAAATAAAACAACTCAGAAATTTGAAGTGGGGGCGAATTCAATCAGCTAAAAAAAAACGCTTCTTGAAGCTGAAGGTGCCAGCTTTCGAGGGAATGCAGATGGACTGTGGTTCATAATGGGAAATTGAATCGAGACAAATGCAAGAAAAGGGGTGATGGCAAAAATTACAGTTTTTTGCGCGTGCTGTTTTCTTTAAATGGTTTAGCAGTAGAAAGAAAGCAAAAAGGAGACGGAAAAAGAAGAGAGCTTTTGGAGGTGGGCTGTTACTTTGTAGTTTTGTCTCTGCTCGATTTTGTCAACAATCAAATGATGAAGAAGGGAAAGGTAGTGACTTTATGAAAAATAAAAAAATAAAAAATCCCTTTAGTGTTTGCCTCACCGGTAATTAGTGCTTCGAATATCAAATTACGGGTGATCAAATTACTTTTTTAATTCAAAATTAATTTCAAAATTAACTCAACTCAATTTTTTTAATATTATTAATATATTTAAATAATATCAATCAATAATTTCATATTCTCTTTAATTCAATATTTATTCACTCACGTATTTAAGTTTAGCTATTTTAGCATTTCAAATTGTTCCTCACACTTTGTCCACATCAACTTGAATCGTTATATTTAAATATTATTTAAATATAAAATTAAAATACCACTCAAACCAGCTTCAATCATCTTTTTTTTTCTTTTGAAATTTACCCACTTTATCTAATAAATCCAATCAAAATAACTTGTATTAAATTTAGCATTTTATGTTGATTATTTGGGCCAACCTATATCAAGATTTAAAAGATATATACAATAATTATAAAAATTGTGTGTATCCATATATATAGATTTGTATATATTTAAAATAACATTATATCTTTGTTAAAAAAATATTTTGTTACTGTATAAGGAAATTTTTTTAGACATTTGTTTACTCTTTTTTCCCTTATCCTTTTGATAGTTTTTTTTCTTTACCATCCATTTGTACTTTTATTAAATGCGATATCAATAAATAATATAAATTTATTGATTATTAAATTTTCTAGTTAATTATTTTATTTCTACTAAATTTTTTTTTATTTTTTTAGTGATGTGATATCAATAATTTGAGATTAAACTGTGCAAAAAGTTACAATCAATTATTCAATTTCTACCTAATATAAAATTTACTATATTTGAAAATTATAGTTAAATAGATATGATTATAGATTAAATATTTAAAGACGAAGGCTGAGAAAATTTTCTAGGTGTGTATTTTATTGACGGTATGTTGTTTTTGAATTTTCACTTGTTGGGTAAATTTAATATTCTTATTTAAGTATTCATGTCACGAAATTTTATTTTTTAAATATAAAAAAATATCATGTCAGTAGTTGGATCAACATATGCAAATATTCAATTTCTTATGAATATTAGTAATTTTTCAGTGTGCTTTTATTTTTAAAATTTTATAGCTATAATTATTATTATTACTAAAATTAATTGATATTAATATTTTGAGCTTCTTTTTAATTTTTTTCCATTTGCTGATAGTAATGAACATTCAATTATTTCAAAGTCACGAAGAAAGCCACATAAAATTCTACAATAAATACATGAACTATCAATTTAAAAAAAAAAAAATGGACGTGGATAGTGGAGTCCATGTACACTGGGCCAACGGGTGGGTCGGCCCACCGATTCCGGCCTGTTAAGCCCAATCATCATGGGTTTTCGGACCTATGTAATTATATAACTACCCACTATTTAAGAGAATTATTACAAAAAGGCAAGTACATCACACTTTTTATAAAAAGACAATGGTAGTTTATAATAATACGTGACTTTAAAAAACTGAAAAAAGTAAAACCGCACAGATGCATCATGTTCCATATATTCTGAAGAAGTCAAAAAACCAACTTTACAAAAACTGACCGTCCAACACCTTTCCCTGCAAACAAAAAACCACAAAAAAAAAACTTACACTTTCAGAAACAAAACACCACTACATACAAAAGCTGAAAAAAACAAAAATAGAGAAAGAGGAAACTGACAATAATCAGAAACTTGATATCTGATTAATCAGATTTCGAGATTGTGGCAGCCAAATTGTGTTCTCCATTGACAAGGTATATAAAACTTGAATGAATAGCTTCTAGTTCTTTTGGTTTTATTAACTTTATATGCAATGATGTTCAGCAATTCCAATAGTTTTAACCCAGTACCACGCTGTATAAGTGGAAATCGACTGTTGCTCCTAAGGAGAATATTTCTTAGAATGCAATAAGAGGAACGAAAAGATTGAAGCAGAGAGCTCCTTTTCAAGATCCCACCTTTTTTCATTTCTTCTTTATATCATAAACCCATATTATAGCCGACACATTAGCCATGGAAAATAATTTGAAATAACTAAATTGATTAAATCTCACTGGTGATCAATTTCAGAAATCAAGACTAGCATTCTTACCATGTAAAACTTGCTTGGCCAAAGGTCCTATAGTGACATAAGCATTCATGGCATAAGCAGTATGCTGAAATTTTTCTTTCTGCATAATATGAGAAAGGCATCACATAGAGAAAGATGAAGGACCTTTTTAATACACAACATCAGCAGTATATGAAAATTTTTCTGCAGCATAATGTTCCTTCTGTGACTGCTATAGATCTATTTGGATATCAGGACCAGATCATTTCCACTGGTGATCAATTTCAGAAAAATATAATTTGTGTATATATGTTGAGTAAATTGTGTATAATTATATTAATATACCTCACACAATTTGCAGAGAAAATGCCTCCATTTCTGGCTTTCATCAACTACAATGGCAAGTGGCAAAGTGATAAAGATTATACAGGGTACTAATAGAATGTACATTATGCTTTACTATGTTGTACTCTTAGTTAGAATGCAATAGTCTTATTTGTTAGGTAAAAGTGTCATTAGCTCTTTGACACTTTAGTCATTTTAGTACTTGTATATAAAGGGTACAGAAACCCTAGTGACACATTATTCATCATTCATTTTATTCGAGTTGCCGTTTTCCTTTCTCCCTCTTTTGTTCATATTCTCTCTTTCGATCATTCAATCTAATATGGTATCATTCGCCCGTAGATCCTGATTTCCGCTGCACTATTTTTTGTTCGTGATCGATCTATTGCCGATTCCTGTTTGTTCGAGCATCATGTCGCAAAATCTGAACCCTTCTGACGACCCTACCTCGCCGTACTTTCTACATCCCAGCGATAATCCCGGCGCACTCATTGTAGCCGAGCTCTTCAACGGTGACAACTACGTTTCCTGGTCACGCGCCGTCTCTATGGCTCTCAGCGTCAAAAACAAACTAGGGTTTGTTGACGGTACATTAGCTAATCCTAACCCTACTCAAAACCCTAGTCTCGCTGTATCTTGGACTCGCGCTAATAACCTTGTGTTATCATGGCTATTGAACTCTGTTAACAAGGATATTAGGCAGTCATTGTTGTTTTTCACGATTGCTCATGATGTTTGGGAAGAATTGAAATCTCGCTATGCTTTATCTAGTGGTCCTAGGGTTTTTCACCTTGAGAAATCGCTTAGTACCATAGATCAGGGAAATTTGTCTGTAACTCAGTATTATAGCAATTTTAAGTCTCTGTGGGACGAGTATGTTACATATAGACCGATATTCAAGTGTGTTTGTGGTGCTTGTAATACTTGTTCTTGTAAAATATTTGAGGCTATGGCTACTGCTCAAAATCACGACTCTGTCATGAAGTTTCTGATAGGCCTAAATGAGTCCTATTCATCTCTAAGAAGCCATTGTTTACTATCTGATCCTCTACCTCCGCTTGCTACTGTATACTCACTCCTTCTCCAAGAAGAAAGCCAGAGAACTCTCTCCAACACCATTAAACCAACAGATTCTCTTGCTATGCTGGCTAAATCCAACAAACCACCAAATTCCTTTCAAAACAAACCTCCTTATAACAAATCACAAAATTCCTTTCCAAATAAACCTTCTTACCCAAATGACAGACCTAAACCAAAATGTAGCCATTGTGGCTACCCTGGCCACACAATTGACAAATGTTATCAAATCATTAGTTATCCCTCTCATTGGATTGGACCTCGTGGTCCTAGGCAATTTCCAAAGCATTCTGCTCATGCTGTTATTTCTGACACCTCTTCTCCAACTTATGATAATCCTACTGATACAAATTCCATGACTGACCGTTTGTTTACTGAGTTTCTAGCTTTTAAGAAATCACAGGAGACATCACAAGGTAACTCTAATGCTCATGTGGTTGCTACTGCACTTGCTGAGCTTTCAGGTACTCCTAAATCCTCTTTTTGTATGAGTGCTACAACATTATCTAAAAGTACATGGATTCTTGACACTGGAGCTACTGATCACATGCTTTGTGCTTCTGATTTTTATACTTCTCCTGCTACATGTACATCTGTCAATATAACTTTGCCTAATGGAAATTATGCTACTGCTTCTCACATTGGACAAGTTAAACTTGCTGATTCTTTGATCCTACATGATGCATTATTTGTACCATCTTTCTCATTTAATCTCATTTCTGTTTCAAAATTAACTGCCACAAATAATTGCATTGTCAAATTCTTGTCATCTTCTTGCATAATACAGGATCTGTCAAACCTGAAAGTGATTGGTTCTGCTGATCTCAAAGATGGCCTATATCATCTTACTTTAGACTCTAATCATGTTTTCCTTAATAATGCTACTGCTACCCCTTTACATGTAAACTCTCATTTACCTGTAAGCAAAGTTGATTCCTCTATATGGCATTATAGACTTGGTCATCTTTCTTACTCTAAGCTTCAAACTCTGTCTCTATCTCCAACAACTTGTAAATCTCTAATCCCATGTGATGTGTGTCACTTCTCTAGACAGAAGAGATTGCCTTTTCCTGAAAGTATCTCTGTTTCTGATTCCCCTTTTGATTTAATTCACTGTGATGTTTGGGGACCCTTCTCAGTCCCATCTCATACAGGTCACAAGTATTTTCTTACAATTGTTGATGATTACAGCAGACTTACTTGGATTTATCCTGCCATTTTAAAATCTGATATCAAACAACACCTCAATCATTTTTATAACATGGTATTGACTCAGTTTGAAAAGAAAATCAAAATCATCAGAACAGACAATGGTTCTGAGTTCTTTCTTAAACAATTTTATACTGATTTTGGCATTCTACATCAAACTTCTTGTGTTGAAACCCCTCAACAAAATGCTAAAGTGGAAAGAAAACACCAACACCTTTTACAAGTAGCCAGAGCTCTCTTATTTCATGCTAGTTTACCTTTAACATTCTGGATTGATTGTGTTCTTGCTGCTGCACATATCATAAACAGAATCCCCACCCCTGTCCTTAATCAAAAATCTCCTTTTGAAATGCTTTTTCAAAAACCTGCTACTTATGATCATATGAAAGTCATTGGCTGTTTGTGCTATTCTTCCACTTTAGTTGCAAATAGAAACAAATTTGATCCAAGAGCTTCTAAATGTATATTTCTTGGATATCCCTTAGGTTGTAAAGGATACAAACTTTACAACCTAGAATACCAAGAAAACATTAATTTCCAGGAATGTAATCTTCTATGAAACAGTATTTCCTTTTGCATCTACCTCAGTAACTGATATTCATGCTCCCTTATTTCCTAACCTTGAGCCCCATATTACTTTTGATATACCTATTATTCCTCACCCTCAAAACCCAAGTAGCCCTACACCTACACCTACACTAACTCAACCTCCACTACTCAGTCACCATCCCTCAGCCACTTTACACCCAAGTACCAATATGCCTGATAATTCTTCTTCTAACAACACCCACCAAAACCACATTTCCTCAAACTCTTCCCCTGTTAGAAGAAGATCAAACAGACCTACTAAAATTCCTGCCTACCTAGATGTCTATAAACATAACCTGAACTCTCAAAGTGCCTCATGTTGCATAAATACTGTTTCACACATTCCTGGTACATCTACTTATCCTATATCTGATTTCTTATCTACAAGTCAATTATCTGAAGCTCATAGCTGCTTTACTGCAATGATTTCCTCTACCACTGAACCCAAAACTTATAAACAGGCTGCCAAAGATCCCCTTTGGCAAGAGGCCATGAACAAAGAATTAAAGGCCTTAGAGCAAACAAATACATGGGTTCTAACTGATTTACCTAAAGGAAAACATTGCATAGGCTGTAAATGGGTCTTCAAAATTAAATATAAATCAGATGGCACTATTGAAAGATATAAAGCTAGATTAGTTGCAAAGGGGTATACACAAGAAGAAGGCATTGATTTCTTTGATACTTTCTCACCTGTTGTTAAAATCACAACTGTAAGATTTATTGTTGCATTAGCATCTCTTAAAAACTGGCACATACACCAATTGGATGTTAATAATGCTTTCTTACATGGAGACTTAAATGAGGAAGTATATATGACTGTTCCACCTGGTTATTGTTCAGATTCTGACACAAGAGTGTGTAAGTTAACCAAAAGTCTATATGGCTTAAAGCAAGCCTCAAGACAATGGTTCCAAAAATTGACCTCTTGTTTGATTACCTATGGTTTCACTCAATCTATTGCTGATTGTTCCTTGTTTTTTATGACTGAATCTGACTCTTTCACAGTTTTACTTGTTTATGTTGATGATATTATACTTGCTGGGAACAATATGTGCAAAATCAATGCTATCAAGTCTCATTTGCATAATTGTTTTACTATTAAGGACTTGGGAAAACTTAAATACATTCTTGGCCTTGAGTTTGCACATTCTGATAAAGGCATTCACATGTGTCAAAGAAAATATGCATTAGACATATTGACTGACAGTGGCTTATTAGCCAGTAAACCTTCAACCACTCCCATGGATGCATCTTTAAAACTCAGCAAGAATGACACTACACCTGCTATTGAAAACCCTTCTGAATACAGAAGACTTGTTGGAAAACTTTTATACTTAACTATTAGCAAGCCTGATATTGCCTATTCTGTTCAGTCTTTGAGTCAGTTTATGTCTAATCCCACACAACTGCATTTCCAATCAGCACAAAAGGTACTCAGGTATGTCAAGGGTACAATTGGACAAGGTATACTCTTTCCCAAATCTTCCAATTTACATATTACAGCATACTCAGATAGTGATTGGGCCTCATGCATTGACACTAGAAAAAGTGTAACTGGTTACTTAATATTCCTTGGTGATTCTCTCATTTCTTGGAAATCAAAGAAACAACCTACTATAAGTAGATCTTCTGCAGAAGCAGAGTATAGGGCCCTTGCCTATACTTCCTGTGAAATCCAATGGTTGTCTTCTCTTTGCAAAGAATTACATATTTCACTAACTACACCTGCCTCTCTGTTTACAGATAGCAAATCTGCCTTAGCCATGGCCTCCAACCCAGTTTTCCATGAAAGAACCAAACATATAGAGCTGGACTGTCATCTTGTTAGAGAGAAGATAGCTCAAGGCTTGATACAGCTTCACCACATCTCAACAAAAGATCAACTAGCCGACTTCTTGACCAAACCACTGCCAGGACCTCTTTTCAAACACCTTCTCTCCAAGTTGAGCATGCCTAATATACATGCTCCATTTGAGGGGGGGTAATAGAATGTACATTATGCTTTACTATGTTGTACTCTTAGTTAGAATGCAATAGTCTTATTTGTTAGGTAAAAGTGTCATTAGCTCTTTGACACTTTAGTCATTTTAGTACTTGTATATAAAGGGTACAGAAACCCTAGTGACACATTATTCATCATTCATTTTATTCGAGTTGTCGTTTTCCTTTCTCCCTCTTTTGTTCATATTCTCTCTTTCGATCATTCAATCTAATAGGTACAAAGCTCACGGAATTATGCTTGAAGATGACTATACATTCAAGCAATTGCTAGAAGTCATCGCAGAAACGATACAACTGGAAACACCGTTCGATAAATTTATTTTGAAATACCAAGTTAGCGACACGTACCCGCGAATAGCCATCACTGATGACCTAAGTTTCAATTTTTATAAAGAATTGAAAAAACGAGAAACCGAATGTACTCGCTACCCAATTTGTGTAAATCTGCAAAAAGAGAGCTCGATCCTTGCGCTTCTAATTATGAATATAAAAATTGTTGCAGCACCCTACACAAATAGAATAGAGTCACTTCAAATGATGCCAAACTCAAGAAGTTACAATGAAAATGAGGAGTCATCACGTGTAGAGGATGTTGCAGAAAATTATTCTTCCACATTGGCAGTTTATGCAGAGGAAAAAATGCAAAAAATGATGTCCAGCAACTCAGAGTCACAGATATCAGGAGCAAACAGCAGCAATATGTGTCTCATTGTGAAGGGACAAACATATATGGAGAAGGCAGAGCTTAAACACAAAGTAAGCATGTACGCAATTGAACATCATTTCCAGTTTGGTGTTGTGAAATCTTGTCCAAAGCAGTACTCCATTAAATGCATTGATGGTACATGTCCTTGGTTTATGAAAGCATCATCTGTTGGTGAATCTTCAATGTTCAAAGTACGTCAGATTAATGATATTCACTCATGTGCACTTGGAAAACGCATGAATGGAAAATGGCAAGCTACTGCAAACTTAGTGGGAGAATGCATAAAAAAGAAGTTTGTTAATCTAAAGACGCACTATACACCAGCCGATGTAATTCGGGATATGCAACAAGAGTACGGGGTTGATTTACCGTACAAAAGAGCATGGGAAGCAAGAAGAAAAGCCTTAGAATCTGCACAAGGCAACCCATATGGGTCTTACCAATTAATGCCTAGATACCTTGAAGAGCTATGCAAGAGCAACCCGGGGTCAGTCGTAAAGCTGCGAAAAACAGTAGACAACATATTCGAATATGTTTTCATTGCACTTAAAGCATCAATCAAAGGATGGGAACATTGCCGACCATTAATTATTGTTGATGGAACTTTCCTAAAGTCTGCTTATGGAGGAACTCTTATAACAGCATGTACACAGGACGCATCAGGCCACATATTGCCCCTAGCATACGGTGTTGTTGATTCCGAAAACAACAAAGCATATGAATGGTTTTTCATCCACCTGAAAACAACTCTGTCGGAACGCGCATGATTATGTATAATATCAAACAGACATGCCTCCATAAAGCACGCCGTCGAAAAGGTAAACAAAACAAACCAAAAATTACGCATTTTTTTTATATATTTTATTAAAGTAAATAATAAATATAAAATGTAAAAATTATAAAATTACTAGCTTGATATTACTCATGATAAATCGATTTTTGGTTCGGTTTGATTAGCCGATCATTATTATCCTAACCAAATCGAAAATCGAAATTCTAAGAAAATGTAAATCGAAAATAGAACCAAATATTCGATTTTGATTTCGGTCGATTCGGCTCGGTTAACTGAATTTTTTTTGCACCCTACGAGAGTGAATGAGATTGTACATTTCTAGTTTGATAATAATATTCATGAAGAATTCGAAAATTATAGTTTGTTTGATCAATAATAATGAAAATAATAATAATAATAATAATAATAATAATAATAATAATAATAGGATTTTGAATCTAGGGTGCGTGTGGAGATGTTGTGGCCTTGTGTCTGTCGTCAACGGAGCCAATGGTCGAGCAAAAACGCGTTTGACAGCCAAGCAAATTTATGTCGTTTTGAAGTTTTGTAATTAAATTAAAAGCATTTAACACAATTCCCGAAGCTATTAAAGCGGATGATTAGCTGTTAAATTATCTCACATGACTCGTTTAACCCAAGTTTAGCTGTTTGGTTGAAATGTTTCAATGGATTTTATAAAAACCGACAACTCCACTGCATATGTTAAATCGTCCCTCGTCTACTTAGCTTTATTTCATATGAGATGGAAATAATTATGTTGCTAACGAGATAAAATCAAATTAACCGCATAAATAAGACACATTTTTAAATGAATACCATTGGACTTCCGACAAATATTCGCGACTCGATTGTATATAATAAGAGTCGGTTTGTGTAATGACAAGCAATAATTATTTTAGACATATTGTACTGAAATTATTTTGTTATAGGGTCATTAGATGATATATATATATATATATGTCTATTGCCATTTTTCTAACTAAGCAAATGTTTTTTTTATGATTATTTAATTAAAGGTGAGGATCATAAATTTACCTCTTCTTCTCATAATAGAACAACATGAATTGAAAGATAATGCGACATATTAATTACCTGAGGTGAAAGTGAAATGAATCTTTATACAGCAACAAAAAATTTAGTGCAAGTTTATTTAACGGAAGGTAAACATATTTTCAGAGAAAACTTATATACGTTACTTTAGAATAAAAAATCAATGGTTTTTGAAATATAATAGAAATAATTACTCTAATAAAATTTTTATATGTATGACGTGACATTATAAAACACTCACGCTGTGTATCTTCTAACTGATTGACCGAATTGTTCACATAAGATTGTGACCAGAGTCTGGAAATTAAAACGTAAAAGCAAGGATTTTATCATTATAATGAATTAAAGTAATTTAATTTCACAATTTTATATCAGTTTCGAGAATCCTAGTCCTTACCCCATAAGACTAATATTTTTCTTTGATATGATAGTCGTTAATATGCCAGTATAATGTTGACTTTGACTCAATGTCTCAACTAACCTCATCACTATAGCTTCTCTCTCTCTCTTTTTTTTTTTATTTTTTATTTTTTATTTTTTTGAACTTAATTAAATGAATCCATTCTGCATTCTACATAAACCCCAGCAAGGATTGAGGCTTTAGCTATACTCAACTTCTCTCTCTGTTTTTTCTCTCTCCCTATACAAGTTAATAATGGCAGATTTACTGAATGAAGAACAAATTGTAGAGTTTCAAGAAGCTTTCAGCCTGTTTGACAAAGATGGAGATGGTAACAACTAACAACTCACTTTACCTTTTATGCTTACATTAGCTCTCACAACCTTTTCTTACACATATACCTCAACAAAAAAAAATAAATAAATAAAAATAAATAAATAAATGCTCATAAGTTTCCTTAATTTTATCTCAAAAAGTTGTTGATAAATATTTATTTAATCTCACTGCACAAAACCGCAGGGTGCATCACCATAGAAGAATTGGCTACGGTCATAAGGTCCCTTGATCAAAACCCAACTGAAAAGGAGCTTCAGGACATGATTAATGAAGTCGATTCTGATGGAAATGGGACCATTGAGTTTGCTGAGTTCTTGAATCTCATGGCCAAGAAAATGAAGGTATTTATAACTTATTTATAATAATTATTATTATTATTATTATGGGGATTTATTGAAATTGCTCTTTTTTATTTTTTATTTTTTTAATAATGTGGTGAATGTAATGAATTAAAAGTGGAATATTACTTTTTTTAATCAGGAAACTGATGCAGAGGAAGAGATTCAAGAGGCTTTCAAAGTTTTTGACAAGGACCAAAATGGTTACATATCAGCTAACGAGGTGAGTTGCAAAATTAAACTACCCTAATTAAGGTTAGAAAAAAGATTCATATATATTTTTTTTTTTTTTTCTGTTGTTAAATATATGATGAATACCTTTTTCGACATTTAATAATTTCAAAACAAATTCTTGTTTGAGTCCGTCAACCGGTTAAATGTCACATATTTTAACAAATTCTTGTTGGGACCCGTCGTATTATTCGAACAAAAATTTATATTTATATTATCAAATGTTACACTTTTCATTAATTTATTTTTTAAAATGAGCTAATTTTTAATGAATATATATATTTATAAAAAAAAAAATATAATATTCACTTGTGTTTTTGAAATGCTCACATTCTTCCACTCACCATGGTTGAAAAAAGAATTAGTAGTTGGTAGACAACTGTACCTATCATACCAGGTACTGTTTATTGTACATGAGATATGTACCCATATGTACCATGAGACCAAATCTACTAATAATAAATGGAAATGAATAAAAACCAAGAGGGAACATTTAATCCATAGTATATATCATTTAATAATAGTAATAATAATAAAATAATTTCATTAAGTTGTTCACCTGATTAAGTGGGTCAATGGTTTTATAATGGGCCTTGTTTTGCACATCTAATGAACTCCACCCAAGATCATACTAAGGCATTTTGAGATCTTATTTAGTGTCAAATTATATGTACATTTAAATATTTTTTTATTGGGAAAATCTTTTAACTAATGAAATTATTTATTTATATTTACAATATTTATTTTTATTTTATTTTTGCCAGCTTCGTAACGTGATGATGAACCTAGGGGAAAAACTAACAGATGAAGAAGTTGAACAAATGATAAGAGAGGCTGATTTGGATGGTGATGGACAAGTCAATTATGATGAATTTTTCAAGATGATGAGGACCATTGGATAGGATCATTAATTAGTTACAATCTTTGATCTTTATTAATTTATTTATGTATTGTTTATCTCTTTAAGTCTCAAATCCCAGTGTTGGTTTAATGTGTTTTATTAATTCTTTACTTATTTTCTTTTAGTTCAAATGGGAAATTTTCATTTTGTTAGCTTATAAATGTTGAGTTTTTGTATTCTCTTCATGATTCATTGTATCGAACCTTTTAGTGAAATCATATTATAAAATCCATGTTATCCCAACTTCTTTGAGGTTCATGAATATAGAACAGAGAACACCTCATCATTAAAGAATTATGATGCATGGATATGATTTTAAAAAAGAGATATTTTTTTTTAAGAATTATTATTATTATTATTTCTAGCATTTAGTATTTATTTGTTATTTTACTTATTCTTGGTGAACAAGTTAGGTTTAAGTTTCAGGGACCTTATATAAGGGACTCATTCTATTTCATTTTGTTCGGTCAATTTAGAATAATAAATTGATTGTGTTTTATCGTGTTCTGAAATTGAATTCTCAGTTATCCTTCTCTATGCTTTCCCTACATCACATGATTTATTAAAGTGTGACTAAATGATAATGGTAAGACACTCCAAAGTATGAATAAGATTTTGATGATATTCTCAATCACACAATTTCACATACAAAATCATCAATATACAATACACATCAGACTTTACACATCTGTCAAGAAATTTTCAAACCAGAACTCAATATAAAGGGAAAAAATAACACCAAATCAGCCCAAACAGATGACTGAGTCCAAACTGTCCAACAGTCAATTCACTATTTGTGAACATTTTTTCTCCTCACCAAAACAAACAAAAGGAATTCATAAAAACAGAACAAAGAAAAAAAAAAAAAATTGCAAACAAGCTCAAGAAAAAAGTATTAACCTTTATATGTTTGTGTATGTGCAACAGATGCAAGAAGTAAAAATAGAAGGCCTCCCTTTCCGTTTTTCGCGCCCTTTGGATGAAATCACGTCATCATGAACCGAACTCTCGCCTTTCGGTTTCGTAACAAAAACGTCTGCATTTTCCGGTTTACTCATCGAGTTTAGCGTTATTAACTCCCTTTTTAAGCCGTCCGAATGGCTTCTTTCCATTCTGATCGTCTTCTCTTCAACCTCCGCACTTTCAAAATGCAACGAGTTGCCGAAATATTCTGTTTTCACACTTCTGTGTTGGAACTTCAGAGTCGAGCAAGAGCTTGGTAAGCTTCTAATCCGACTCATGTCTTGAAAAAGCAATGGGGTTTGATCCGAAGACTCGTCTGACCTGGCATCAAATGGGAGCCCGAAATCAAAACTCGGGCACTTTCTCGACTTATCGAATGTTTTTGCACTTTCTTGCACCTTAGGCACATTATCTTCTATTACTGGCTCGTTTTCTGTACAAATCTTATCAACATTGTTAGTATTGTTAATGAGTATACTTTCTTTATCTGTAGACTTGTTCTCCAAACATGGAAAGGAATCGGTTTCGGTTTCGACTTCACGCCTCTCTCCATTTTTACTCTCGACTTCTGATAATTCTTCATTAGCAGAGACAATATCGGCTGTGACATTGTCATTTTCATGCTCGTGTTTTTCGACTACAACTATTGACATAGTCGTTTGATCTTCTTGAGGTTCGGATGTATTATTAATATCGGTGGATTCTTGAGGTAATGGGTCCAAATAGTCGACATTTGATGTGCATTTTGGCTTCGGATTCGAGTCTTTTTCTTGCATGTCCCCTGTTCATGTCAAGATTATTTATGCAACCTGCCTACAAATTACAATACATGCATGATAAAAAAAGGCAAAAAAATCGAGTATGCGAAAAGTCGAGCTAAATTACCGTCTAAAGTGAATGATTGATCTTGTATTTCATTGTTGAGTATTTTTTCCTCGAAAATTGCCTCATCGTTCGGGACTTTGGGTAAAGAAGCTGAAATTACTAACATTAGTGCATTGAAATAATTGAAAAAAATAATAAAAAGCTGGTTTATCTTTGAAAATTTGAAATAATCCTTTAAACTTGTCTATAGCCTTCCTATTGAGGTGGAGTTTATAAAATAGAAGTAAATGTCATACAGAACTTGAATTTACCGACCCTTTTCACTACCAAATGCCGGATTTTCGAGACTTTCGTTAGCTTCGTCAGAATCTGAATCTGTCTTTTCTTGAAAATCACTTCTTTCATCCTCTTCTTGATTTGCTATCCAGCTTTGTTCTTGCTGATCATGCGGTGAACAGACTTCATCATCTTTTTCCGAGACTTTCTGTTCGGCTGCGAACGAAAAAAAAAAAAAAATTGAGATCAGTGATCTTTTGCTAAAGAATTATTTTGTAAAGAACAAAATAAGAAACAAAAAACTTCCAAAGTTACTACATCATACCTACTATTCCTGATGTGTTCTGATTTCCCATTTTGAACCGAAAAAATTTGTTCCGAACGGACTTCAGTTATTCATATTCACTAGCATGCATAAAAACCATACCAAGAAGATGATAAATTAAATATTCAAGTATATATGTCTAAGAGATGATGACTGAAACTTTTTTCTGCTATTGCAGTTTTAATGAAACAACAATTGACAATGCCAAACTGTGTTTTAGTTAGTACAACTACTTATGTTGGCTTCAAGTGTAAGGCTTTTGGTCATTTTATTAGCATAATGCATCTAAAGCACCTAAAAGTGATCACTTTTTTCCCACCTTTTACATAGTTGGACAGAGGTTGCTTTTCTTATTCTTCTTCTTATTTTATGTTCTGTAATGATGAAATTGAGTTAAACAAAATAAAATTCTCTCTGGAGAGTGGCTGAGGAGAATATAAATAATTTTCTCTTGGGCTATATAATACTTAATTTATACTCTACATAATATAAACAAGTAATATTAATGAATGAAGTTATATTAAAATTGACAGGTAATGTTTGGGCCATGTTTCTTGTGTAATGAATAAATTTATCTTTATCATAACCCATAAAATCATGAGGCTGGGAATTTCAAAGTCAATTGAGTTTTGGAGATTGTGGGATTAATCATAAGTTTTGTTGGTGCCAAACCTTAGGGTGTCCTAAAACTCATCATATTTGCCCAATTGCCTAATTAAAAGTTAGAGGCTGGACCCTCATTTCTCTTTATCAGCAAGTATAAAGTAGATTTTTGCTATAAAATAACAAAAACAAATGGTGAAAAGGAATGGTATTCTTCTTTCCAAAATAATTATAACATCTGTTAGGAATAAAGCCAACTTAGGATAATTAAAGAGAAGTACTTCAGAACAGCATATTAGAAATCAAATTTAAAATGAAATGTTATGTATATAGTTCAAGTCTAGATGCACTCTTCTTTTACCATTTTCAGGAAAGTAGTAATTTTCTAGAAAATTTTGTTTATGTACTGTTAAAAACTATTGTCACTTCAACACCCAGACAAAAGAAAAAAAAACTATAGTAAGACATGAAGATAGTTGTGTGACACAACTCGACCTAGGGTAAACAGAAGGACCTGAAGGACATCAATAGTGTGAACACATCAAGATAAACATAGTCATAGGGATAAGAACAAATCTCGATAGCCCCCGGGCAGCCCGTTATCCTTTCAGGAAATTCTTGGGCACTAAGATACACAATTAATTAGGCATCAATGTAATCACAGTATAAATAAGGGTGAGGTATGACTATACATTCTTTTTCATCTGATTACTTAAATATTCATAGTTACAGTACCTTCCTCATCCTCACACTAACTTGATTGTCGGAGTGTTAACGTCGGGAGCACCTTCAAGCCCTTGTTTTGCATATTACCATCTACATTACGGACAATTCTATCTCAGGCGATTGGGTCACCAAGTCCATCAACCGAGCTCCGCCGCCTCACCCGCTCGTGGTGGCCCGAAGGCCTTGCTGTGGGAAGGCAATGAATCGCGGCGATTTAGGTTTTTGTTTTCTTTTTTCCGATAGAGGGGAAAGGGGGAAACGCTTGGGGGTGTCGGCATCGTTGGTGTTCTTTTTGGTTTCGCTGCTATGGGAAGGACTCTCGTTATTTTGTTTTGTGTTTTTTAGTTGTGTTTGTCTTTTGTGCGTGTTTTTGTTTTGTAGGTTGTGTTTTGTTTTCACCTCTTGTAGAGGAATGTGTTATTCCTCTTTGGGGGGTCGTGTTATTTTCCTTTGGGGNAGATATTCACATATAACATTTCCAACCACCAGAATTACACGTAAGCCTGGAAAATATTTCATTTATATAGCATCTATAATATTTGTAATTAATTAAAATAGAAGTCACAAAAGTAGCACAATTTAACTGACTACGGAAATTACAAAAACTTCGGGGTAATTGTTTATGAATTTAACTAGTTTTTAATTGGTGTTTTTTTTAACTATAGTTAAGTTTGGAAAAAGTTGGTACGGTTAGTTGGTAATAGATATATTAAAATAATAGTATTTAAAGTAAAATAATTAAAATTAATATGATGAAAAGTAAGACAAAAATGATTGAAAGTGATGGTTAGTTAAAATTATGTAAGTGAATGAATAGTGAATTAAAATTGATGTGATGTGTAAGAATGATTGATTGATATTATATTAATAATATTGGAGATAGTGAAATTGGTTAAAATTGAATTAAATTTGAGTTTTATTGATTTTTTTTTTATTGAGATGATAAACAATCACCCATTTCATCATTCACGTAAATCAAATTTCGGATAATTAACGATTGCCATGTCATGTCAAACAAAAATTTGAGTAATTTATACTTATATTAAAAGATATACCATTTACCAGATTTAGTATAAAGAAAAGTCAACAACATTTATTGCATTACTATTTCCGTATTATACAATCTATACTTATATAAAAGGAGATTCTATTTACTACATTTACTATCCAGAAAAATCAACTGCATTAAATGCCATTACTATTTTGGTATTATTAGTGTGTACCCCGTGCGATGCACGGGAACAATATTAAATTAACAATATTATAAAAAGACCTCGAATTTGAGTCACTCAATGGCGGAAGTGGAAACTACTATTGATCCTATTTAAAAAAAGAAAGAAAAAAAATAATTATACATTAAAGAGGAGGATAAACAATATTTAATAATTATAAATTAAAGATTCGGGGTCAAACAATGTAAAACTATTTTGTATAAGAGAATATGAAATTTACATTATTTTGTATAAGAGAATATAAAATTTGTATGTTTAATATTAAAACACCTAAAATATTATATTAGTATATGTGTATATGTATATATATATATATAGACGCATATGTAAAAAAATGTCTAAACAATTTGTTTAAAATATATAAAATATTATAAGCATAATTTAAAAAAGACATTATGTCAGATGATACCGAATTTATGGCGTTACTCCCATCTAAAAAATTTGATTACACACTATTATTATTATACTTTTTTACGTTGTTATCGAGGATATATAGTCAGTTTATAATATTTGTAAATTGGTTTTTATTTTATTTTATTTTTTTAAATCTTTATAGATAAGAGATGAGATTTTTTTGAAGACGTATTTATGCTACGAAAAAAACAGGAAAAAGGAAAACAGATTCTAACACAATTAATCTGCCTTATCAATATTGTCCAACAATTACTATATATAGGATACATTTAAAGTATTTAGCGGGAAAACATTTCTAAAATTGTAAAAAGGTTATTCTTTTTATATAATGATAGATAATATTTTATTTATTTAATTAATTTATTTATTTGTTTTATTTTAGAAAGGTAAGTATAATAAAAAGATTTTAATAATAAAAAAATCAAATACCAAATAAAAATGTACACTTTGACTTATTTGATTATATTTGGTATTTGATTATACCAAATATATTCCTATTTAGTATATACATTAAATACTTACTAAAGTATTTATTTGTTTTATTTGTCAAAGTTAAGTATAAATTTGTTTATATTATCAAATCATAAAAAAATATTAAATTCATATTGTAAAAAAAAATCATATAATTTTATAACAATTCTACTATACTATTTAACAATATTTTTTTTTATTATATAATAAAATAATAATTAAATATTATATGGTGAACAACAATAAGTAAAACTGTTACTTTCTCTTATATCAAAGGATAAATTTATATGCTAAAATCAAATTTTTATTAGTATAAATGTTTTAGTGAGATAATATATTAATTATTTTACAAGCTAGCCCTAACATGCTCATATTTAATGTTTTAAAAGATGTAGAAAAAAAACTTATAATAACTCTATTGTTTTTTAGACTTAAACGTTGATTAAAAGAGGTAAAAATTCCTAATTTTTTAGACTTAAACGTTGATTAACACCATAGATTGAAAGTTTATATTTAGTAAAATTCCTAATTGTAATAAAAAAAATTAATTTTTACTATATTTTAGAATATCTTTAAATTCATTATAAAAAAAAAAAGAAAAAAAACCACAATGAAAAAAGCAAGTCAGCTATATATCGATTTGTTGTACTCCTCAAATCACATTCACAATTTGGCTACAAGGAAAGGAAACTCATTGATTAAAATATTATTTTGTCAGTAGTCTTAATGTACAAGAGACTTTAAAATTCCACTTGAATATTATAAAACTTTTATTGAACATTGTACAATTTTCTTGCGTATTATAAATTTTTTTTGAATATTGCATCTTATAATATAATATTCTCCAAATAAATATATCTCGTGCTTCGCACGGGTCAAGTACTATATATATCTCGTACATTTTTCTTTATTCATGTATATAATTATAAGTCTGGATAAATAGCCTTAAAATTGTGCACCCATCGCATGGGCTCTGTACTAGTAACTGTTACAAACTTAATAATTAAAATAATGATTCGCTCCTTGAACTTCTTGTAGAAAAATTTGGTACACATTTTTTTTTTTTTTATTTAAACTCTGGAATTTGTGTTGGTTTTTATCCTACAGTTTCTCAACTGGACGTATTTTCCCAGCATTTTTATGTGCCTTTCCTTCAACAGTTGGCTTAAAGAATACGTTATACGATAACTATGACTAACATTCAAAATGTGTGAGTGTAGTGTACATATAGCTTACTTGGTCGTATAGATAACGAATTTCAGAAGCCTTGGCTCAATAACTTCTATAATTTAGGAGCCATAGATGTTTTAGGGGCAATTGAATACAAATTAAAATTATTCGATTTAAACTGGTCGGATAATTATTTTACACTCTTTAATTTGAAATTCAACTCAACTTTATCTGATTTATCTCTCCTGAAGATTATTAATATAATTAAATATCAATCAACAATCCTTGCACATGTTTAATTTATTATTCATCAACTCAAATATTTTACTATTCATCACTCACAATCACATTTCTCCTATTTTTACATCACGTTGATCTTAATTATTATATTTTAAATATTATTTTAATTAAAATTCAAAGTTTCATTACTTTATTTATAATATCTCACCTTTTCAATAAATCCAATTAAAATCAAAATATTCCATACCCCTTTGAATCTTGATTATATGTATCAAAAAGTGAACTTCAACATCTTGATTGTTGTGCCTTGAACTATATGAGCTGCTCGTTAGAAATTGCCTCTTTGACATTATAGTTTGATACA